TTCAATTGCATCCAACAATTTTGCTTTATCATTTGTTAGCTGTTCCATTTTTGCTTCCAACTGACGACACTAAAAACGCGCCAAAATCTTTAAATATTATTACCAAATACACATGGAGAGTTAATTATTATCCAAACTTTGGCTTGGGCTTGTAACAAATTGGCAGCAATGCACTTAACATTCCTCGTTGAAAAAATAACATCTCAGTCGTCACTCTGAACAAAAGCTCAAGAGTCAGAGCATGGGAGGAAACACTCGGGACCTCAGCAAAGAAATTTGAGATACAAATTTCCACAGGAAAAAAAGTCACGCTAGTCAAGTTTTGAGGCAAAAAGGGGTCGACATTGGAGCAATGTCAAGAAAAGGGTCAGTGAAATGCTGGCCAGCATACGAAATAAATGCCACAGTCTGTTGCAGAAGCAAGTATTACTGACGCTACATAATAATGTATTTTTTGCCCATACAGGGCCATTTACTCCGCTAAAATTATTGAAAAATTAAATTTCCAAGTTCTGCCGCATTCCGTACCCTGTTGAGATCTCACGCAGACTAACTACAATCTTTTTGGACTGCTCAAACTGTGCTGCTGACTACTAGGATAAAGAAGTGCATCCCGCCTTTGCATAAATGACTGCTAAACAAGTCGAAACTTCCATCGATAACGTTGGCAAACTCTTGTATCGCTAAAAAGTTCAGCAAAAAAACGGGAGACTATCTGAGTTTTTTTATAAAATAAAGATGCTGATGATCGTTTATTCTTCCTCGTTATTTTTCTAAAGTCAATTTCCCAAAAACTATTAAAAAAAAATATTAAAAAAAGCACTTGAAATAATCGTATTATTAAAAATAATAATAGAGACCTGTTCCTCCGCTGTTCCTAACATATTCATTGCTTTTGCGTTGATACTTCTTTCCAGCACTTGCTTTCGCGCAGTCCTCTCCTCCAGTTCTTTGTTACCCTTTTCGATTGAGTAATCCGTGAAATCATAAGCGGTGCCAGTTCGACCAAAATGATGCTTCTCTTCAGCGATCCATTTATATTGCTTTTCTAGCCGAGATGCCTGAAAAGCCAACACATTCGGCTCTTTTATCTATCTTGGTTAAGCAGTATTGAAACTTTGTAGTCTCGAATTAGAAAGCCCAAAAAAAAAAAAAAAAAAAGACAAAACTTTGCGAATTATCTGCACAGGAATCAAATGCACAGGAATCAAAAAAAAAAAAAAAGGAATTCGAACCCTTTTAGCGCAGTCTTCAATGTTTTTTTTCATATCCTGAATATCCTTCTGCAATTGCTCTTTCTTCAAATCTGATTCTTTTAAGCTCTTCTTTAAGGCATTTACTGTTTCAACCACACTACGCATATAAGCATCCTGTTCTCGCATTCGTTCCGTGAATTTTTGCATTTCCTTCTTCGCCTTGTCC